TGGGGGGCAAGGCAGCTTGATACACCCTTGGTTTAAAGAACCCTTCCCCCACCTTTTGTATTTTCTTGCTACTTCATTACATTTTTCACCAAGAAGAAATACATATAGTTTTAGTTATAGGGACATATAGTAAGTAAATACAGGCTGAAATAACCAATGCATATAAAAAATATGAAGGACAAAAGAAAGCGTACATTTTAAATGTTCTTTGTCTGTCACGTTTAAGCCTGGGGATAGATTAATCTTAAAATATTTTTTACATTGATTCTATATTTCAAAAGTTGTTTATGAAGTGTTCTGTATGCTTCACCTGCCATTCCCTTAGGGTGGAACATAAATTGCACTGAATCAATAACAAATGGTGTCCCTTCAAATAAGAAGAGGTATACAAGTTTCGGGGAGCGGGGGGAGGAGTTAGAGCAGGGTTAACCTAATACAGAGCAAAGGAGCTAATGCCAGTGGTTCTCAATCTTGATGGACTTGGCACCAATTGAGTGCCACCCTATTTCAAAAATTGTTACGGTCCTTACTTCCCTGTAGTGGGGCTGGGTTAGTGGCCAGGCAGGAAAGAGCCTGAGCCTACACTTAAGTGCTTATCTCCTTACACCTCTGGGCACCCTTCAAAGTAATTTGCAACACCTGGTTGAGAATCACCACCCTACACTTAAAAGTTCTGTTATGAGGTATTTGTGTCTTTTGTTGCTATGTGAATATCTTTCAACGTTTTTATATCAGAATAGTCGTGACCAAACTTTGGGCTCCAAATGAATCAATTGAAAATGTGTTTTGCTGCCAGAATAATAATTTTGATTTTTTGAAATTGCTGAAGTCTTTGGCCATCTAGACACTTATTATTTTTTGCTTTGTTAGGAGTGGGAGCTAGGTTTTGTCCACTTTTCAGCATCAAAATATTTCCTTCCTTATGTGGAGTAGTTTAATTTCAGCCAGCAGGGGTGGCCAATGGCAACACAGGTGCCACAGCAGCACAGGTAGCTTGTGTGTGTGTCATGCGGCAGATTGGGGAGGGGACAGGCAGCATAGTATCAGATAAGGAGGAAGTAGAAAGCAAAACAGTAAATCAGTCTGTGAGCACAGGGAAGGAAGTGGAAAGCAGAGAAGCAGATCAGGCAGAGTGTAAAGGGATGAGAACAGAAAGCAGAGGGGCAGATGGGTTAGGGGGAGGGGATCAGAGTAGCACTTGGGGAGGGTGTAGAGAGAATTTCTGGCACGCCTGCCAAAAAGGTTGGCCCTGACTGTCTTAAAAAGTATATTAGCGAGCCACATGAATCTGGAGAACTATTTAATGGTGTTGATTTTTAAAAATAATACACCAAGTTTTATTCTGGTCTAGTCTTTAAAACAGTTTTTAGTTGTATTTTCTTTCAAATTAGTTCATAATACCAAATTAAAATGAATGATGCTTTTCATTTATATTGATCTTGTACTTTATTAAGCTTACCCTTTAAACCAGATGGTTGCACTTAATTTAATATTTCATTTTAAGATGGAAGCACCTTTTACTCAAACTGTTTGAAAACGGTATTTTTCTTGAGTTCTTTTAATATTTTCTTATAAAAAATGACTTTTTCATTTTTTATGTAATGGCATATAGTTATTACAAAGTAAAAAAATATGTATGGAATTTTGTGATCTGGATATAATTTGTCTACTTTCTGGTCATTTACTTAGTTCCTCATGGTTGCTTTGTATTTCTACAAGCAGGAAAACTCACTGCAACATTTAAGAACTACTGCAAATACCTTTGCATGAGAGATCCCATCCTTTGTTCACATTTATGATCGATGTACATGTAGTTTTGTAACTGTAAAGGCAAGTGCTTTTGTTGGGCTTTGGCATGAAAGAATACCCCAGGAACTGACTCAGAATTCTTCGAACTGTTGAAATGCCACTGTGTTCCACAGCTCTGAGGAAGGAAGTCTTGCATTGGAAAGCTTGTCTGACTTCGGACCAGCCGTATGTTGGTCCGATAAAAGCTATCACCCTAAGAAATCCTTGTCCCTTGCATCTTGCATAATTTCTGGATCATCGCAGCTACAACATCACTCTTACACTATCCTAATTCTCATCTGCACATTTCATAAATGCTCTCATTTTATCACGAGTAACAGTAGTCCAGAATATTTAATGAGGTTGATCCAAGTTTTGATTCCCCAGCATAATACCCTCTCCAGCATGATTCCTCTCAGTTAAGAAGCTTCTTATTCATTTCCAGTATTCTTATGCTAATCTCCATTTCTCCAATGTAATAGCTTTCTTTTTGTATGGCACCATTTCTCATGCTTTAGCAAAGTCCAGATAGGATATTCAGTAACTTTGGTTTTGTCAAGAACGCTGATGTTCAACCTCCAGCCTATAGGATCATGCCATCAGGCCTGTGGAGCTCCCCGTGGGTCCAGGAATTTGGTTTTGGGGGAGCGGTGGCAGTGTTAATTGCTGTGGTTCTGCCCGATGCTACTCATCCGGCCTATGGGACTGGAAGGTTGAGCAACACTGATCTAGGAAAAGCCTTTTATCTTATCAAAGATATCAGGTTAACCTGGCATAAAGACTTTGGCATTTAATTTTCCTTTTTATTTCTATGGCCTTATGTTTTGAAGGAAAGAATAATTATTGTACTGTACAATTAAGGTAAGGATTTCACTCTCAAAGTTGCCTGTATAATTTTTATTTCCCCTTCTTAAAAATAGTAATTGTTTACTGCTCTCCAGTTGGAGAATCATGGCTAACTTGATGAATACATGATACTCTTCAGTGAGCTAAAACACAATTGGGAGGTTTGCAAGAAGTGGAAACTTGGATAAACTACTAGGGAAGTCGATAAGAGTTGCCCATTGCTTGGGCATGCAGGGATCAGGAAGGCCAGAGTGCATTTGGAGTTGCAGATAGGGGACATGAAACGTAACAGTTTCTACAAGTGCTAGCAACAAGAGGAAGATCAGGGAAAGTATTAGTCCTTTACTGAATGGGGGAGGCAACCTAGTGACAGAGGATGCAGAAAAGGCTGATGTACTCAATGCCTTTTTTTGTTTTTTTTATCTTAGTCCTCATAGGCAAGGTCAGCTCCCAGACTACTTGTACCTGACAGTACAGTTTGAGGAGGTGAGCAGTCATCAGTGGTGAAAGAATGGGTTGGGGACCATTTAGAAAAACTGGATGTGTACAAATCCATGGGGCCAGGCGCAATGTATCTGAGGGAGTTGGCCGATAAGATTGCAGAGCCATTGGCTGTTATCTTTGAAAACTTCTGACCGTTGGGAGAGATCCTGAACAATTGGTAAGAAGTAAATGTAGTGGCTATCTTTAGGAAAGGGAAGAAGGAGAATCTGAGGAACTACAGACCCATCAGCCTCAAGAGCAAGAGCAAATCATACTTGACCAACCTGATTGCCTTCTAATGACAAGATAACTGACTTGGTGGATACTGGGAGAGCAGTGGATGTGATATACCTTGACTTAAGCAAAACTTTTGATACGGTCTCTCACAGCATTCTTGCAGCCAAATTAAGTATGGGTTGGATGAATGGACTCTAAGGTAGATAGAAAACTGGCTGAATTGTTGGGCTTAAAGGGTAGTAATTAATGGCTCTATCTGGTTGGCAGCTGCTATCAAGCGGATGCCCCAGGGGTTGGTCCTGGGGCTGGCTTCAGCAGCCTGGAAGATGGGATGGGTTGCACCCTCAGCAGGTTTCCAGATAACACCAAGCTGGTAGTAGTGGGTAGGGCTAGGATTCAGAAAGACCTAGACAGAAGTGGAGGATTGGACCACAAGAAATGTCATGAGGTTCAAAAAAGACAAGTGGCAAGTCCTGCACTTCAGATAGAACAGTCCCATGCACGGTAGAGGCTAGGGACCAACTAACTAATCGGCAGCTCTGCAGAAAAGGACCTGGCAGTGACAGTGGACAATAAGCTGAATAGGAGCCAGCAGTATGCCATTGTTGCCAAGAAGGCTAATGGCGGCCCGGCCTTCATTAGTAAGAGTGTTGCCAGCAGATCAAGGGAAATGATTCTTCCCTTCTCTTTGGCACTGGTGAGGCCACATCTGGAGTAGAGTCCAATGGAGGGCAAGGAAAATGGTTAGGAGTCTGGGGCACGTGACTTCTGAGGAGAGGCTGAAGAAATGGGTTATTTAGTGTAGAGAAGAGAAAACTGAGGGCATTTGATAGCAGCCTTCAAGTCAAACTGGACACAAACTGATTGAAGATTGCTTCTTCCTTGACACAAGGAAAAACTCTACAAGTCAAGTGCCAAGGGTCTGGAACAGGCTCCCCCAAGAGGTAGAGTATAATCACCCACCCTGGGGGTCTTCAAAAAGTGTCTTGATGCCCACCTTGCTGGGACCCCAGCAGTTTTTCCTGCCTAGGTGCAGGGGTCTGGACCCAATGATCTTGTAAGGTCCCTTCCAGCCCCTAACATCTATGAATCGATGAAAATCCCTGAAAGGGGGTTGCAAAGAGGATGGAGCTGGACTGTTTTCAGATGCAGAGGTAGGTAGGTGTGGAAAAACTGATTAGCCAATCGGTGAGATCAGTGTATACATTCAGTGATGCATGTGCAACTGTAACTTGCAGAAATCCAGTTCTCAAAAATAAAACGCAGTAATACTAAGAAAACATGAATAGTGTTTTTTAATGCTGTACAAAGGGGCTTTAAGGCCATCCATAATTTTCATGGGACTGTACAAAGAGGTAGGCCCAATTGCTTTTCAGAAGAGTTTGTGTTAGTCTTTTCATGTAGTTGAATTTTGCTTTGAGAATGTTAGTTTACATTCTCACTTTACATGGGAAAGGTGTAGGATTGATTCTGGAAATTAAAGGTGGGATTGAACCCAGTTTGCCAAGCTAAGTTTATAACACTAAATTCTGGAAATTACAGTGACTTTCTTATTGAATGGATTTGAACTCAACTTAGTTATGACGGGAATAAAGTAAATGAGTGATTCAGAAGTTTTTTGAAAAGTGTATTTAATATGTCTGTCTAATGATCTTTTTTTCTCTTAGAAATGGTTGAATCAATGAAGAAAGTGGCTGGCATGGATGTGGAGTTGACAGTGGAAGAAAGAAACCTGCTGTCTGTTGCATATAAAAATGTGATTGGAGCTAGAAGAGCTTCCTGGAGAATAATCAGCAGCATTGAACAAAAAGAAGAAAACAAGGGTGGTGAAGATAAACTAAAAATGATTCGGGAATATCGACAAATGGTAAGATCTACTTGGTGAAATGCTCTGGAGGAGCTATGCGTGTACTTTGACTGCAGTAAATACAGCACTTTGCCTTCCTCCTCTCATAACTGTAGGCTGTAAAACTAATAAGTAGCATCTCTGAAGTTTTTGGGAATGAGTTCCAGGACTTTTTTAGGTCCCTGTGCATTATTGTTGATTTGAAATCAAAACCTGTTTTTTCTTTGCTTTTCACACGGTATGTTGTTCTTGTAACAAACAAATGACCACCATTAGGTCCTCTATGACAGGAAGTCTAGCTTTTGTCGTGGGTAGAAACCCATCATGTCTCTCATCTCCTGCACCAAATTTTCTATAGATTTTCTACAGGTGTAACTGTAAGAATGCAGCAGTTACCCGACATCACAGTATGCTCTAATAGTTTAACATGGACCTATCTGGAAGAGACTTGACCCGTATTATTAGTTTATTATTATTTATCTCATTTATGTCTTGCCCTTTCCAAAAGGCTTAGAGCAGCTTATAGTAGACAAACATGCTTGACTTGAAATGAGGAAATGTCAAAATTGTGCCTCTTCTGACTGAGAATAGAAGTTTTATAGTCTCCAAACTGGTCACTTAAACTTTGGTTAAATGCTTTGGGTGATTTCATTTTCAAAAGGAAATGACAAATCCTGAAGGCTAGTTCTACAGCTGGGGTTGCCTTGATAATTATGAAACTGAGGCCAAGTATATTTACCGCTATAAGCGGGCCTTTTGTAAACTTATTTCTCCTTAGATGTTGAGCAGTTAATTTGGATAACATCTTTGTAACCAGTGACTGTTTAATTTTAAAATCTTCCCAGCTCAAAGGGTAAAGAACAAGTTTTGACTGTGTGATTGCAGTCAATGAAACTTTTTTGAGCGATTTTTTTTTTTTGTTTTTTTTTTTTTTTTTTTTTTTTTTTCTCCCTCAGACTCTTGAAATTCATTTTTCTTGCATACCCTGTGCACCTTTTTCCTGGAAGCAGCTGGTAAAAGTTGGAGTGCATGTTATGTACAAGAAATATGATAAGAGCTGTTTCTGCTGTTTACCAGCAAAAGTGACAGTAAAGTCCTGCAGTGATCCACAGGGAGCAGAATGAGAGGGCTCAGCTCCTTCGTTGCTGCTACTCAGATACTGTAAAGAACAATTTTAAGAAAAAAAAGTAATTCTGCTTTTCAGAAATAAGGTGTATATTTAACTTAGTTGGGAGGACATTGTAAGTGAGAGTGCATGGGGGTGGGGTTATTTTATTTATTTAGCTCAAAGTACCCTTCAGATATTTCACTACGTATATTTTCACCAACGTTCTGGCTCTTTAAGAACCCTGTTCCTTCAGCAAATTGCAGTAGTACTCAACTGACACATGATCCCAGTAGGAGAGAGAACTGTTAAGAGTGCTGATGTTTTGAGCTGTATTTGAAACTGCGTCATTTGCAAATAGTGTTCATGAAGCCTCCTCCTCTTCTAAAGGGTCATGACTAATTAGTTTGGGTTTTACCTGGTGGAAGTTGCAAGGTATCCCTTTCCCTTCCCTGTTTTCAAATTTTGTTGATACAGTAGCCCTAAGGCAGTGATTCTCAACCTGGGTGTGGTGAGAAGGGCACTGCAGTTTGCTGTGCAATATGAGCAGTGTTATACGTGTGCAAATACCTGCGCATGATTCATAAGATAAACCCAGAGATTTCAAATAGGAACCCATAGGGTCAAAAACATTCTGCCCTATTGTGCACTTTCTGAGCTCTTTGTAAAATAGAGAGCTCTTTTATTATTTTTCCTTTAATAAAAAAAACCAAAACCAAACCCAAATGAGAAGCTGGTATTTTCTAAGGGGTACCTTGAGTCTAGCAGGGTGTACCTTCAGTTAAAAAATGACTGAGAACCACTGTTCTTGAGGCCAAGTCTGTTTCCGTTTCTCCTCTGTGCAAGTTAAAGCTTGTGATACTTGACAGGCAGCATTGGACCTCAACTATGTGGCACAGCTTCCCAAGGTCTGTGGCCAGATGGTGTGGTAAACTAGGCATGTTCATAGGATTAGGTAAATAACTGAGTTGTTGTTTAGGTGGGCATGGAAATTAATATGATCAATACGGTACTATTTGTAATGACTCTTTTGAAATAAAATTTTATTTTTGCAGCAGATCTCAAGTGTCAGTGCTGTACGATTTTTATTTTTTTTTTTGCGGTTGGGCACTTTCACGCTGAAGTTGTCTTCATTTACTAAAAAAGAGGTGCCTTGATTTAATAGATAACAAATGCATGCTAATGCTTTCTCATTGTGTAAATGTGGAGAAAAGCCTGTGTGGTTTTACTTTGATGTAGGAGGGGAATATGTTTGCACAGTTTTCCTGGTTAAGACCCAGATGCAACTTGGACTTGCATTTTAGTAATCCCATGAACACATTATGCTCTGTGTTTGTAAAACTGTTTTCTGTGTGCATATGTGTTATTCCTTTCATAACTAGAGGATTAAGAAATGTACCCAAGAACATTAACAGCAATTCAGGTAAGATTTCCTGTACAAATGCTCAAGACTTAACTGGTGTAAGACTTCAGATGCTGTCTGCACTTTTTATCCCAGGCTTGCAGATGGCCTTTTTCAGGATTGATTATCTTCCCTGTGGTTCTCAATCTCTTTAGATTCAAGGTAGCCCTCAGAAACTGCCAACGCTCAGCTTTCATTTGTTTTTTTTGACTAAAGGAAAAATTATAGAGCAGTTCTTTATTTTACAAAAAACCCAAAGAGCACGCAATAGGTCAGAAAGTTTTTGACGCTATGGATTCCTATTTGAAATCTGAATGATAATTTTCCCATCCTGATGGTCTCATAAAGTCAGTCTTCTCCATTTGGTCGTCTTCTTTCCACCTCATATGTACTTCCGGGTATGCAGGAGGGATAAATATGAATTACAGAGGGTGTGGCTTAATTCACAGTTAACTACAAGCTTCTGCATGAAAACTGGCAGAAACTTAGTCCAGTAGGACCTGTTAGGGACAAGTACTGTTGGCACGGGGTCCTTTTGCCTAGTTCCCCAGTCTGAGTGGGAGAACCATGAGGTTCTTCCCCCAGGTTAATGAATCAGGGCTTATGATCTGCAGAGGAAATGCCTCGGAAGACGCAGTTTGGATGTTGCTCACTCTGAATTGTTAAGTCTTGTCTCTGCTTTGCACAATGTGTTTTTACTGTCTGATAATATTATGCTTCAGTTGACAGAAAATGCATGTAGCAAAGACAAAAGCTAAGAAAGCATGAGACTTGGTTAAAATTGTAGCTCAAATGCACAAAGCAGATTTTGTTGCTACAGTAACCAGCATAAAAAATGCCATATTTACTTGCATACCACACACACCTCCCTCCCTACCCTCAAGTCAGTCCCCCAACATAGGGGTCCATGCCCTAAGGGGTGGATTTGATTTTTCTGCCCAGATACAAGCACCTCATTTTGATTCCTGTTCCACCACGCAGCCATGATGTCTCTTTTCAGGCAGCTGAAGGAGTTAGTTGACTTAGTGGTTTGTTGTTATGAGTCAGTTGCCTAAATTAGAGTCATTTGAAGTGCCGATGATAGCCGCACCATTTAATGGTCTTGATGTTCTTTGGGCAATCTTACTATCTATAAGCTGCTTTTGGGGTTTGTCCTCCTATTTGAATTGGAGACTCTTTTTAGTTCTCTTCAGTGTTGTAGAGTCACCCATTGAGACTAGTCTTCAGAAGCAGCTAGGGTTTCAGTTTTTTGGTTAATTGGGAGAAGGACAATGAATGAGCTGAAAATTAGGGTCTACTCCTGTTCTATACAGCCATAACCCTGGACAGATACTTTGTTTTGCCTTCACGTGCCTTACCTGGGGGCATGTGATGTGAGGAATATGGTAGCTGGGTGTTGATTCTTAGGATGTTAAAAGTGACTTTTTGAAAGTGAATGGGACTGAAGACAGCATAACAAGCTAGAAACAGTTCTTGAACTAAAGTTTCAACTTCTACGGGGTGGTTCCTAAAGGTTGATGATGGTAGGATTTTTTTAGCAGTTCCACTTCCGTATACCTAATGTGGATGCAGAAATCTGGCAGCGCTGCTCTCATGGAAATCAGTATTATTGCCACTGTTTGGTTAAAACTTAGCAACCTTTACCTTGAGTTAATTTCATCAGGGTGCTGTGAGAGTATCAGGCATACTGCAACATGGGCAATGCTGCTGGAGCCAGGGAAAACTTTGCTATGTGCCTCAGTTTCTAGGGTGCATATCAGGCTTGAACGAAAAAGCAGCTGCAACAGAAGCAGACGGGCCCTTTTGCCTATGTTGCATTTATCAGATAACCTTAATACAAAAAAAAAAAAGCACTTGCTCCTGCCACAGCCCTCTGTGTGGTCCCACACACCCCTCCTGGAAATAGACGTGGGATAGTTCCACCTAGTGCTTATCCCCAGGCTCCTGCACTGCATCTTCCACCCGGTAGAACTGTCCTGTGTGTCTTTGTTTCCAGGAGATGCATGTGGGGCTGGGTCGGGAAGGGCTGCAGCACTGCCTGCTTCATGCTGCTTGGATAATACTAATGTAGGCTGGCAGGTGTGCATGTGTTGCAGCCCTTCCTGGTCTGGTTGGACATGAAGCATGCAGGGCACTCTTACCTGGCAGCAGCAATGCCAGCAACATGAGCACCCTGGTTGAGAAGCACTGAGGTAACTTGAGGCACCTCAGCAGTGGTACTCAAACTAGGATGCTGCTACGTTCAAAGAAGTTGTGGAAGGGTGCCCTGAATCTAAAAGGATTGAGAGCCACTAGCTTAACTGTGAAGCTTTCCATAGCATAGGATGAAACTGTTTAGCACCTGAGCAGCTACAAGATGACTATTGAATGTGCTTTTGAGCAGCTGAAGTCCAGGTAGAGTGTACTTTGTGTCTAGCATGCAGCACCTGAGCTGTACTAACCCACAATTTTGGCCTGCTGCGTTCTGTATGATGTGCAGAAGTATATGAGAGGAGCTGGACAGCAGAGGCAGAGATGGGTTCAACAGGTTGAGGGAGCCAGAAGCATGACTGACAGGGGCATCTTATCTTGGGGGCAACCTCGATCTTCTTCAATCTTGGGCTTGCTGGCCTGCTGAGACTCAGTAATAGGGGGTGTCTTTGTTTCTGCCCTACATGTTTGTCCCTTTGTGGGCCCTGTAGATGCTGTTTTGACTGCCTTGGCTTGCATTTGGTGAGTTGCTTTGTGGCCATCAGATGAATTCCATGTTGTCTGTGTGAAATAAAGATTACAGTTTTTATACCAAGAAGAGTGTGTTTTATTTTTGCGGCATGGGTAGAATTCAAAACAAGTATGGAAAAAGTACAAAGGCACAGGGGCTTCAGAACTTGATAGTAATGAAGATTGCCAACAGGAATGGCACGGGGGACAGGGGAGATGTGTAGAACAGGAGCATGTCAGATGTTTACTTCTGGGCGACATTTAGAGCCATGGTTTGGCAAACTCTTCTGCACATAGCGATTTGGATTCCTTTGTAGTTGGAGTGGCAAATCATCAGCATGCTATCAGGGCTTCATGAGTTGAAGCAGCTCAGTTCCCCGAAAATGCGGTTATTTCCATCCACGATGGAATGCCTGAGTTGTGGTGCTGCGTTCCACACTTGGGGTGCACGCTGCTTGCCTCTCAATGCAGTCTAGCACTTGAGGGAGGGGTGGCGGTAGGTGGACCATGTGAAATTCTGCAGGTTGTCAGGCTTTCACTTGCACTCCCAACCCAGAATGCTGGGACCCTGCAGGAGGAGTACCTCTGGGAGAACTAAGGGGAATCCTGCTGGATCTGTTCACAAAGGCAGAACTGAAGAGATCCTGCAGGAATGGAGAGGGACAGTTACTTATTTGGGAATGGAGAACATAGTGGTACCTCTTCTGCTGATGCGGAAGGAGTGAGCTGAAGTGTCAGAGTGGCCTCTACACGCTGAGGTGAATGCCCAGGTTCCCGTCTGGCCAAATAGTCCCTGCCTCTCGGGGATCTCTTTGGTCCTCAGTCTTCCGTGCTATGGACAGTCTTGTCGAGATCGGCACTACGAGTAAACTTGGAAGAAAAGTGCAACCGTAGCTTTCACTGACAAAAATGTGTCCGGTTCCTCCTAAGAAGAATTGTGGCCCTACTAGTGTACAGGTGTTGTCCAGACAACACCTGTACACTACCAGGGCCAAAATTCTTCTTAGGAGGAACTGGACACATTTTTGTCAGTGAAAGCTACGGTTTTCTCTGTCTTGCCTGTACCCATGCATAGAATATTAGAAAAGTAGGGCTGGAAGGAAGCTTACGGGGTTATTTAGCTGACCCTTCCGCTCGGGAGCCTAAAGTCATTTTCGACCAGTAGGGCTCATGTAGCAATTTGATCTAGCCTGCAGAGCCAGGGGGCTTCAGCAGTGAGGAAAAGTGGCGGCAACAGTTGGGTCCTAGTGCTGGCCCGCCTTGAACCTGAGCTTGGTCATTCTGACCCACTGCCAGAAAACGTTGCCGACGGCTGTCCTAGACGAGGGTTGAGCTAACTTATTTTTGAAACTTTGTGAACAGCTCGACAGTGTCTTGACACAATGCCTCAACATCAAGAATACCCAGCTTGCCCTCAGTTTGACTATTGGCTTTTTCAAAAAGTGATTTGTCCAAAGTTGGCCTACTTAAGGAAATGGGTTTCATAACTTAATTAAGGCTGTATAAGTGGTATTCTGAAATGTGTATCCATTAGACTACATAGGAAATTTCTGGAAACAAAAGGTGTCAGAAGGAGATGGTTCTTTATAGATATTAGGCATGATTAAAAAGTAAGTCTATTCGTGCTTTAAGTGAATAATGTTTATTGGATTTGTCTTTACTTTCTAAGTATCCCTGAGAGGGGCAGATTGAAGGCCGGGGGGGAGACTGAGGGCGGACGACAGCAGTTCAGGAACTCCAGATGGGCTTGGAAACCATGGCCTGATAATCAGAATAGCTCATGAGCTTGGAGAGCTGCAAACTGTTGCGTTCAGTTCAGCATGTATGACAAACAAGCAGATCTGTTCTTTACTCTATCAGAGTTAAAGCATTTCTACTGAGAGGTGTGAGGCAGCTGGCAGAATGCTGTGTAGTCCAGTGTGTGCATTTTCTGCTGGACTGAGTGGTCTGTTCTGCAGCTGATGCATGAAGTGCCCTCTGAAGAGGCTTTGGCAGTACAGTTGCTGAGTGGAGCCATGCAAAGCTACCAGAAGTGTGCTTGCACATACACTTCGGCAGTTGTAGCTGCTGTTGCCTGCCAGAACTTCAGGACCATCATGGCTACATCATCACTCTTGCACTAGCTTGATCCTAAGTACATAGCTAGCCCAATGAAACGATACCACCCAACAAAATCCTTGCCTTCACAGAACGTTAAGCAGTAGACTGAGGTGAATATGCATAGGAGCTTCCATCAGTTTAAGGAAAAAGGGGTTGGAAATAGATTTAACTAAGTCTCTGCAACTTCTTGTATAGACAAGTCTTCTGCATTACAAAGGCTTTTAAAGACTTTACAGATCTTTGTATCTGTAGGAACTCCTTGTTGAATAACTTGCTAAAGTTAGAAGCGTTTCAAAGCCCAGTATTTCAAAAGTGATTGCTTTGCGAAGTGTTTCTTACTAGCTGATTTCTAAAATGAGCTTAGTGATGTTCCCCTCGAGATGATAAGCTTTATAAAGATCAGTGCTATTACCTTTTCTAGCTTTGTGTGTTTTAAAGTTTGTACAGTCTAATGTTTTTCAAAGCAACTCATTTGCGTGGACTTTGTCAGTGGGTCTCCTCCTTATTGCTTCCCTTCCTATCTGCTGGGGTGTCCCTTAAGCTTGCTTGTCTCAAAGTCTGATTGTTCGGGCTTAGTCTGTCTGATGCAAGAGAAAAGCTTTATTACTTTCTGAGGTAAGTTTTCAATCCTGCATTGAGCCTTAGTTGGCATTTCTTGATTGGCGTTTTGCCTCCTGTGAAATGAGTAGAAACATACCATGGTCTGAGGGAGGCTTTTGTCCTATTAGCCTTTACAGACATAAGGGATCAAAAGCTTAGAGTTTGGGGTGCTGTGCCAGATTTGTGAAAAGGATCTAAGAACCAGGATGGTAAATCCTACAAAGCATCTCCCACAGTTTTGTTTCTGATTAAATTATTTCACTTGGTGTAGCCCTGTAGGGAAATGTGTGTCATAATGGACACAGACCCTTTTTTGTATTTCTTAACATGAGAGAATCTGCAGAATTCAGTTATCCTCTAGGACCGTGTAGAGAAAGTTGGTAGGAGAGGCTAAAATTTAACATCTTGGTCATTAGTAGACAGGCAGAACGTTGTACTCTGACTGTGGACCAAGGCAAGAAGCAAGTTGCAGAATCAGTATGCCTTCCACTGGTCTACAAGTGTTTTGTTGTAGTTTGCTATGCCAGTTTCATACAATTTTTAATGCAAGTACCAGTGCTCAGAGAGTGCAGTTATTGGGTCATTTTAAGCACTGAAAAATAAATTTGAAGCTGACACATGTTGTGAAAATGGCTTTAGAGTTCGGAGCCCCAGGGTCCTCTTCCACACCCTACAAATACCTCTATTTTGGCTAATGTTTGTTGAAGCTATAGTCTTCTAATACTATCCAGTTAAAATAAGCCTCTCATTCCCATCATGTCAAGAAGAAAAATTAAGTTCCACTGTTTAAAACAGTTTATTCAACACTAATTTATTTTTGTTTTGGGGTGGTCTGTTTTTTTTGCACCTCACAGGTTGAGACGGAGCTGAAGTTAATCTGTTGTGATATTCTGGATGTACTGGACAAACACCTCATTCCAGCAGCTAACACTGGCGAGTCCAAGGTTTTCTATTATAAAATGTAAGTGGCTTACTGTTGTCTGCATCAAATGTTAACTTATGTTATGTAAAATATTTCCCTAATTCTTTATATGTAAATGTGAAGATTAACAGCAGCAGTGACTCAAATCTTCTATCTCTGAAATGGTTACTGCATATATATTGATAGTTACATAGAGATGAGCTTATTGCTAGTCGGTGGGTTTTTTGACTCCTTTGCTTATAGGAAGAAGGTAGTTCAGTTGTATCTAATCAGTCTTTTAACATTATCTTCCTGTTAGTGTTTAGCCCCAGGGTCTTGTGTCCAATTGTGAGGAAACTAGATTAAAGTCAGCCAACTTTCATGTGTGCCATTGAATGCCACTCAAGTAGAAACAGCTTTTTTCAGTTGTATGCTCTTCAACATTACTTGTTCTAAATCCAGTTTCAAGTGAAAGGTTTAATTCCTGTATTAACAGTCCCATTGCCTATGTAGTATTTTCTGTATAAAAGCAGTACATAAAAGCAAACGAACAAATCAAAAAACCCTCGAGGTAATTAAAATTTATTTACACATCTAAGTACTTCTGTTAAGGAGTGCTGACACGAAAGTTGCATATCCCACTTTGATTTTTCGGCTCCTTGTATACATAATGGCATGACAGTCGTTCATGGTATTATGCTGTGTTTCAGGGCTGTCCAACTTGAAAGTGGCTGGGGGCCACATGCCCCATGAGCTGCACCAGCAGGAGCCACACACCACGGGGGCAGCACTAGTGGGGCCCCCCCCAGGCTCTGGGCAGGTGGGTGCTCCCCAACCTCAACACACTGGGCAGGTTCTCCCTTGTATGGTGCAGCATCCCACCTCACCTTCAGCTCCCCTGTGGCACTGTGCCTCATGGGTGTTCCAGGCTGCAGGCTGTGCTGTCTCGTGCTGTTTGGGTGGGAACCCCCAAGAAACCCCCCAACTGCTGCTGTAGCTGGAGCAGTAGGGACAGTGGTGGCTGGTGGGAGCCTGGGGACTGCATGTTAACCTCTTGCAGGCCCCATGCAATCTACAGGCTGTAAGTTGGACAGCCCTGCTATATTTGAAAAAGCATTGACATCTGTATGTGACAACATAGAAAATTGCTGAGTCTTACAGTATCTTTTAAAATGTAATTTGATTTAATTTAAGATTAATTTCATATGAATTTAAAACATTTTTCCAGTGACCATTCAGTACATTTAACTCAGTACATTAAACCTAGCTTTAATTCTGGGTTTGCAGCAGGTGGCGAGTAAACTTATATGGTTTACAACGTTCAGCGAATGTCGCTGCATATATTATATTTTTATTATAAAATTTGTCAGTAAATATGTCACAGAGTATCTGAGGTGTCTGGAAATCATTTTATCTGTTAAGTTTTTAATAAAACCGCCTGTGTGACAGAATCAAATCTCGTGCAGGAGTGCTGTAGGGCCAGAAAGAGCAGTTGCCAAAAAGCACCCTCTGAGACGAAGGGAATAAACACCCTGTGGGCAGACCCATCCGTTCCAGTACCATGGAGCAGATACGTTAATCTACTTGCGGAGGAGCGCAGAGAATCGTAGAGAAGTAGGGCTGGAAAGAAACCTCCTTAGGTCCATCTAGTGAAGATTCGACGGGATCTCTCTCTCTCTCAATATTCTTCCTATCTTTAGATATCTTTGTAGAAGATGGTTTGGACAGGGATGATCCCGTCGAAGGCAGGGGGTTGGACTTCACTAGATGGACCTATGGAGGTTTCTTTTTAAAGAAACCTCTCATAGGAGAGATTTTATCTCTCTCTCCCTCTCTCCCTGCTCAGTTGAGGGAATTCAGCTGTGCAGCAAATGTAGTTTCCTTGTCTTTCCCATTTTGGTTGCACTTAGGAAAAGGTTTGGGAGAGACAGCTCTCAGTATTTGATACCTGACACATCTCAACTGATTGTGGCATGGGTAACTGCTGGTAGCAGTTTGCTCAGTACCAGTACCTCATATTTTTAGTACCTTCTTCCCAAAGGAGGCATTTATACTGTCCATTGGCAAAGGTGTCAGTTTGCAAGCCTCATCCTGTACCTTGTACCCATGTTTTTGGCTGGTGAAGGCAAATGGGCAGAGTTTTCCCAACACACCCAGATGTGTAGTGGGTGATTCTATATTACTTGCATTTCTCAAGTATTTCCTTTCCTTTGTAAAAATGTCTAGAATGTTTTTTCCTCTGGTGGTTTGGTTTTTTTAACTGAGGAAATTGATTCTGTAACTTAGTTATTTCTGTGATGCACACAAGTTCAGCAATACCTATTAAGTGCCTGGGAAGTATAGCAGTATTGTGGTTTCAGCTATCTCATTAAGCATTGTAGGTCTTTACACCTGACCCTCAGACCTTAATGGTCTTAAAGCACATAATACAGTAATATCTAGACATTGGTCAGTGGTAGGTATCCATTTTGCTTCAGAATTATTTTTAAGGCAAAATGTTTTTTCCTTGGTGGGTAACATGAATATAAAATTCATAAAATTATTGCGCTTTCTTTTTTTTCTCTTTCAGGAAAGGGGACTACCATAGGTATCTGGCTGAGTTTGCTACAGGAAATGACAGGAAGGAGGCAGCAGAGAATAGCCTGGTGGCTTATAAGGCTGCTAGTGATATTGCAATGACAGAACTTCCGCCAACGCACCCCATCCGCTTAGGTCTTGCTCTCAACTTTTCTGTATTCTATTATGAAATTCTTAATTCTCCTGATCGTGCCTGCAGGTGAGTAATATCTGAGGAGGTGGATCCTTTGGCGTGCTGTAGGGTGTCAGTGCTTGAGAATTCTAGCATTTGAAAAATGAAACCTGAAATCATTCAACCTAAATGTCATTAATTTTTTTACAATGAATTTTAGGAAACAGTTCTCAATCTTTTCGGAAAATTTACCTCAATGTTAGATGAGCGATTGCCAGAGCATGGTTTCTTAATTGAATTAAACAGGTGGCCTTATGCTGGTCACTATTCCTAACCATCCCAGGAAATGCCTATTCTGCCTTCTCTTAGAAACTTCCCAGGAATGAATGCAACTTCTCTCAACATCTACTTCCATTATCCTATTCTTCTTAGAGTTGGGAGTGTTTTCCCCTCGGGTTTTAGGTTAATCAGATTACTACATTGTTGAGTTGAAACTGTAGCAAAGCCAATTTAATATTGTATTTGTAGGTTGGCAAAAGCAGCTTTTGATGATGCTATTGCAGAACTGGATACGCTGAGTGAAGAAAGCTATAAGGACTCTACGCTTATCATGCAGTTGTTACGTGATAACCTGACACTATGGACTTCAGACATGCAGGGTGATGGTAAGTAAGATTTTGCTTTAAGATGGTTCTCCACTTTTGATATCAGGAAAAAATCTACGTAGCCTAAAAGTGATTTCTTAAGCATGGGAAGGAGAAGCAAAATGAATTTTGATGTTTTTCACCTCCCCATCAGTATTGTGGTGTGTGTTTGTTTTTTACTGTACTGTACAGTTGACATGTCTGGGTTTTTTTCTCCTCCTTAATGCACTTGGCAAATGATATCAATTTACATTAGAAACTTTTCAGTATTTATTGGTTGGGTGAGATGTCACCTCCTAGAGATTTTCCCCTCATTTAAATTGGACTATATTTTGTTTCATAAATAATCATCGGGTGGGGGGAATGGAATCTTTATTTAATTGCAGGTCAGTTTCTGTGATGCTTGTGATTATCCTTCTAATTTGAGTTGCTAATGCAGGAAGTAAGGAAGTGACAAAATATATTTAGCGTTTCAAGCAGTAGTGCCTAGTTATTCCTTAAGAAGAGCTTCTTGAGTAAATAATAAAGGAATAACCAAGCATTGTGCTTGGGGGCAGGATTCTATCATATTTAGTCATTAGAAGGGTTTTTTGCCTTCCTCTGTTGAGGGATGGGGCACAATCCTCTTCCTTGTATCTCTTGAGTGTATTTTAACAAGCTACTTCGTAGTCCTTGTAGTGGAAGGATGTTGACAGCATACTCATGCCCCTGCTTTACCTGTGACAAGTTAAAGGGTGTTTCTGAAGTTTCGACAGCTGTACCTGAAAGCTGCTTCAGAAGTTTTTAAAAGGGGTAAGCAAAAGTTGTCTAGGATGGTATTGATGGGGATGAAGTGAACTTGTCTTGAGCAAGGGGTTGTACTAGGTGGCCTTCTCGTCCTACTTTTGTGTGAGATTTTTTTAAATAATTAAATAGCCAATTATTACTGTCGCAAGAGTTATGATTATCTTGATACACTAGCAAGACCCTTTCTCCCTGTAGATTCATCTAGAGTGCAGCTTACTTAATTATTCCAGCACCTCTAATTTACTGAGGAAATTACATAATCAAATAAACTTGGTTGATATATGGCAGTATTAATGAAATAAAAGCACCTATGGTTGTTACCTATATAGAACTAAGTTAGTTCCGTCTGCAAAATTGTATGCAGTCTCTGACCTACTTTAGACAGTGAAGTACATTGTCGGTAAGTTAAATGTGTAAACGATTTGGTACCATAGTCTGCCCGCTCTTAGATAATCCTACAGCATGTCTAAGAAAATGCATCTCTTGAAGAGATGCAGGGCTGCTATGTGGAAATCACTTAGAGTTGTCATGGGATCAGTGCCATTTGGGAGCAGGGGGAAGTTCTTTCTCAGGACTCCGCAAGAAGCAGTCTCCCAGCCCTGGCATGGCTTCTCAGGCAGCATACCTCTGGTTTCAAGACCCTGCTGCTTCTCAGTCCCTTGCTTCCCTGGTGATCTCTAGCACACCCACCTCCTTTGAGAGTTTTGGGTTTTTTTGGTCAGCTCCTGGGAAGGAGACGGAGTTTTCTTCAGAGCAGCACAGCAGACTTGGTTCCAAAATAGTCTTTATTGTGCCACTCAAGTTCCTTCTGCTCTTCCACAGACAGACACTGTCTGCCTTGGACTGCCATTTCTCCATTCCCCAGCTCTGACTCTTACTCTTTTTCTTGTCAGGCCCAGTCAGTCACTTCTGAAACAACACAGTTACAAAACTCTCATATAATCTCGGGACAACACTCCCCCAGTAAAATGAGATGAAGTCATGGGGAACCCATTAGAGGACAATTTCTGGCTCTTGCTGCCAAACCCAGACTGCCATATCTCACCGGGCTGAAAAGAGCATTAGGTTTCCTGCTTATGAGGCTACTAACAGCAAAGCCTGCTTATACCAAGTCCCCCAGATTGCCCCGGCTAGAACCTAGCCCAGCTAGCTGCCTTCATCACAGTGGTCATGCATCGTTGCCTGCTCAAGGGTGCTGCAGCAGTAGTGGTCAGGTAAAACTACCCTGTGTTAGGGCTCTCTGATCAGCCTAAAGCAGGCAGCAGAGTTGCCTTGTGCCTTGCAGCTCTTTCTGATCTGTTACCCCCAACAATTCTCCTGGAAACAGGTGCAAATGGAACTGTCCCTCTGCTCCTGGGAGAGCTGTGGGGTGTAAACCAGAAAGAGCTGCCTAGCACAAGGCAGCTCCTGCCTGCTTTAGAGGGTGATCAGAACCCTGTTATAGGAGTAGTGCACATGTGGCACAGCCCTTCCTGGGCTGGCTTTGCAGCAAAGGGCAGTTGCATTCCAATTTCGCAGCCTTACCCAGCTCAGAAGCACTTGCGTAAGCTGAGGCAGTGCCAGTAGTGTCTCAGCCAGGGGTGCCACCACACTGAAAAAAAGTGGTGGGATGCCTTCACCCTGAAAATCCATCTGATATAATCTCCATTTTTGAGAGATCAGTCCTAGAGGAGTGTCAGTAAAAAAAACGTTCCCTGCACTAAGATGAAAGATGACATCCATTAAAAAATTTTGAAAAGGAAAAAGTCACTCTGTAGCTTTTCTAGCTCTTGGAGTAGAGTGTTAAGAACAGATCGGTGAGTAGCATACCTTTGCAATTTTCATTGAGGTGTGATTATAATTCATAGAATCATAGAGAAGTAGGCCTGGAAGGGACGTCTAGAGGTCATCTAGTCCGTTCTCCTGCCTGAGGAAGGATCATCTCTATCCAGAGGATTTCATACAAATCCATTGTCTAACTTGGGGTTGGCAAAATGCCTGTAGCAACAACATGAAACCTAGAGTATTGCATTTGATGTGCAGCAAGCTCATCCTTATCCAAGGCTTATGAATCTGTACTGATGGGTGTTCTGAAAATAAATGCATCCTGCCCTGTAGTTAGGTATTCCAAAAGTCACTGTATTTCTCTTTGTACAGCTGATGGTGCAAGGCCCCTTAGACAGAAAAAGTATCTTGATGCTTTAAAAATGCATTGAGATGTTGGTGTCAACGGTGCATCTAAGCTTCCTGGAATGTGTTCCTGGATGTTTTTGAGTGCACATTACCCCCTGTGTGTGCTAGAAATATGCTATCAGAATTAATTGAAATGATTTTTAGAGGGAATTTCAAGTCAGTGGAATGTAATAACCTTTTGGAACTTGACTAATAACTACAGTCTTCATGGGGAGGATGTTGCTGGGCTTGGCTAAGAGCAATGGACTGATGCTGCTGCAGAGGAAACTTAGATTGGTGATTAGGAGGAACTCTCAGACTGGGAGGGTGGTCAAGCATTGGAATAAGCTACCTAGAGAAGCTGTGGAAGCTCTGTCCTGGAAATTTTCAGAAGCAGGTTGGACAGAAAGTTGGATGAGACTGTTTAGTCGGGACTGATCTTACTTGAGCAGGGGCTGAATTAGATGAGATGACTTTGAGGTTCCTTTCAGCCCTACTTTCCTTTGATCTTGTGAGTGTTTCTGAGATGGAGAGGAGAAGGGGAGTGTGGAGAAATGAAGACTCTCCCTACTGGTAACTATACTTACTAGATGCACACTGGGGGAAAGTAAACTTGACTGATTGGTGCTTTACCATTCTATGAATATCCTAATTGAAGCAGGCAAATAGCTAGACACTGGGTTGCTAGATTAGAAGAAACCAAGGTAATTACCTGTCCCTTCATTCAGTACACCTTTGCTGTTATGTCTTTGAAGTAGATGCTCTCACAAGTAAAAGGCCAGCTAAGAGGTCATGGATTGAACTAATCTGTTTAAGAGGCAGGCTGTGTCACATGGTAGGATTGATGAAAATGGTCATTACTTCAATGGGTAAATGAATTAAGAGACCCGTATGGGGACTAATTTGGTGCAGTTGCTACAACTTTTTCTTGAGTTGAGAAGGTGGAGAGAATTTCATTGTGTGCTCTTCCATATATCCTGAAGCAAGACTTATCCATCTGTCACCCCTCCCATAACCCCTTGCTCTATCTTGTTAGTCCACCATCCTGTAATACAGACGGGGGCCCCTGACTTGCCCTCACTTCCTTCACTGTCCATTTTCAGCCTGAGGCAGCATCTGGAACCAATAAGAAAGCAAAAGGAGCCTGTTGTGAGTGTAACTGTGGAGGCAAGGGGCTGGCAATAGAAGGGTTGGGCGGTTGAGAAGCATTCTACATAAGTCCTGCTTCTATCTTTTAGTAGTCAGAAACATGACCACCTGGCCCAAGTTTGAAAACACCAGGTAATCCCTGGGTGTCACTGGGATTGGTCACTTCCTGAAAGCTACCCTTTCCATGCTTTGGGTGCTATTAGATTTTGATGTTCTTGTTGTTCAGTTAGTGTGTTACGGCACTGCTTACTTAATATGCAGTGTTGTAATTTCCTTTAATAAAGGCCTCTTAGAGATCACTTGGAAAAAAGAGATGTTTTGAAAACAGTAACTGTTACACAAAATGTAAAACCTGATGTAAAATTGCAATGCTTTTGGAACGGGTTTGATTTGTAAAGCTTTTATAAATCTGTGATCAGAGTTCGCAGAGGGTGTAGGGTAATATTCCCATTTCTACAGAACTCTGAAGAAAATTAAAAAAAAAAAAAAAAAAAGAGGGGATCTTGTATCCATTTCATTTGTTTGTAATACCATGGAGATCTGCAGGCAAATCTAAAATCATAATATAGGATAAATGCTTGTAGAGCAGGGGTGGGCAGGCTGGACTCCATTCCCCAGCAGCCCCTGCAGTGGCAGCTCCTGCCCCGGTCCTGGTTCTGTGGCTTGGTGCTGTCGCAGCCCATGCTCCTGGGGTCTCCACAGGAGCTGTGGGCAGGGGCTGCTGGGAAGTGGGAGTCCAGCTGCTGGCCAGATCTGCCACTTGCCCACACCTGGTGACTTGCTGTTGGGACTAGTTAATGGGATGTTAATTACCATGTTAAGTGGAAGGATGCTCACATTTGCTTCACAAAATCTGAGGGGGGAAAGGAGGGCTAGATTTCTAAAGTAGTGACTTTTCAGTACTGTTCCACTTCACTTTTGCTTTTAATCTTTAGGTTCTGGGTATCACAGCATGGTTTCCTAACAAATTGAGTATTACTGGACTTTTACATCTCTCCACTTCCATTGTCTCTCTTAATCATGTTATAAGCAAGCAGTATTTATTTTCATGCTTGTAATACCGTCTTCATACGATTCCTGTTTTCCCTTCTTTCCTGTCTGTATAGATTCCTAAAACGAAGCCCAACTGTTCATTTCCTAAAAATCTACTTTGTAAGTCCTCACCGTGGCTCAGTGACTTTTTCAATTTATAATTTCTCTTGTCACTAACCATGCCTGCTTACCACTGTCCTGCTCCTGATAAATTGCTTGTATCTCTGACTCTGTGCCAGGGCTAAGCACTTCTCTGCTAATTTGTGGCCTGTCACCCCTACCCAGGTCCAGACATGTATAACTAAGACCAGAAATGATCTAGGCCTTCAGTAAATTAGCTGGATACCTTGATAGAGATTAAGAATACTTGGGCATGAAACGTACTTTCACTTCTGGCCTGTTACATAGTAGTTGCTTTTGTGTGGGCTAAAGCATGCCGGAGATGCAATACATTTTAATCATCATCTCAGGTTAGGGTTAGGTCCTTTACCAGTTTCCTCTTTCAGTAGAAGTGGTCTTATTTTTGTTTAATGTCATTATTTATGTATGTTTTGGGTCTTTAGTTGCTATGGGTAGCATTGTCCAAAACACCCATACCACATATTTAGTGACTTCCTTGAATCTAGATACATAGTCTGCAGGCATTCTGCTAGGATGTCAAAAAGTTACTTGTTTGATCCGATTTAATTTTCCTGTAGACTAACTGAATAGATTATTCTGTTTTACATTGTCCCTTGAACCATCATCATAGTTAAAAGGGCAGTTCTCCCTGAATATTTTAATCAATTGACAGTGTTAAATTACTGGAAAAGGTACATACAGCATTCACGTTTCTGGTCCAGGGGACAACCAGTTCAAAACTCTATAAGGCAGCAGTTCAAAAGAAATAGCTGGTTCTTCACTGCATGTAGCAGCTCAGTTAATTGGCTCCAGACTAATTGTTAAACACGAAGCATGAAAGAATCTGCACAAAATGACCCTCCTTAATAACCTCAGCTGTACCTTTTCACTTCTCTTGGCCTGCTTTCCTGCACTGCATTTGAAAAGTAGGGAAGTGTGTGCAGGCTGGACCCGGTGATCTTGTAAGGTCCCTTCCAGCCCCTAACATTTATGAATCTATGACCATTTTTGGGTGGCTAGAAAGAATAAAATAAAACAATATGCAACCTCTTAGGAAATTGATTTCAGTGCTGTAGCACTGAAGAAACTAAGCATGCTGCGTGGAAAAATGGTGATGTTGCTCTGGTTTTTTTTTT